CCTCATCCCTCTGCTTCTACCCTACCCCTCTTGGAGCCTCATTCTCATTCTACAATAATGACTTTTATACAATAGTTGTCCTTGTGGGACTGAGTTCATTCACTCAGCATAATGCTCTTCAGTCCCTCCCAAGGTGGGTAATAGTTTACAAAATCATTGCTCCTGTGTGCTGCATAGTATTGCATTGTATGAATGTATGTGAGTATGGTTATTGAGTTCCAAGTGGTCATTGCAATGAAGTAGAGAAGTAGTAAGTGGAGTGTGTGTGTGTGTGTGTGTGTGTGTGTGTGTGTGTGTGTGTGTGTGTTGTGGAAAGAGCATGTCTGACCTCACAGGAAGGCTTTGGGAGGTTATTGCTGTTGATGGAGACCGTTTCCCCTTGTGAAGTTAGGAAGTAAGTGGAGGTTGATGCTGCGGCCCACATCCACATGCCCACAACGTTTTTACAACATTACATGGGAAAATGTCACTTTTACCTGTAGAAGATTTACTAACCTACATTCATGCAGTGGAACAGAATACATACCATGCTGTTACTCAAGAGAATTAAGTAGGTCTTTGTTACTGTCTTGAGGGACATCATGCTTAGAAAGGGGTGGAAGGTTGGCAAAAGAAAAGAAGACCCTCAACTAGGTGGGCTGACACACTGACTGCTGCAATGGGCTCCAGTATGTCAGAATTATGAGGATGCAATAGTAATTAATTATAGAAAAGACAATGTTTATGAAGGATTGTATAAAACACAATGTACTTGGAAAATACAATGTAAATGAAAGATTGTATAAAACACAATGTATACACACAAAACACAATGTATATGAATGGTTATACGTAAACAAATAAACATACGAGAAGTAAAAAAAGAACTGATGGGGATGGCACAGGATAGGAGAGGGTTCAGATCTGTTGTTCATAGAATTGCTATGAGTTGTACTAGACTCAACAGTACATAGTACAACAACAAAGAAACATCATCCTAGATAAACACATCTTAAAATGTTCCTATTATCTATTTAGGGAGTTCTGGGGACATAATCCACGGAGAGCTAACCTAATGGTCACACATCTATGGCAATTCAAATCCACTGGGCCCTCCATGGGATAAAGGGAAGCAGGCAGACTCCTCCAATATAACTGACAGTCTTAGAAACCTGATGGAGGGTCAGACATGAGTTGGAACCAACTCCATGGCAATGAGTTTTACTTTGGTGGCTTAGGGGTAAGGCATTGCACTTCCAACCCAAAGTAATGTGGTTCAAATCCACCAGTGGTTCAATGGGAAAATAAATGGGAATAAAATAAAATATCTTAAATGAAATAATAAAGGAAGCAAAACCACTAGGGAATATATTAACTACAACATTGGTAGGAAGGGAATAGTCTTCATATTTTTGTTTTGTTACATAGCATACACTTGTTGTGGTATACCATAGAGATGGAAGTGACCCATAGCTGACCCTCCAGCAGGTTTTCAGACGCAGTTAATCGCATGGGAGATTGTCCATCCTTCTCTTGCAGAGCAGCTGGTGGCCTTGAACTGCATGCTTTCGGAATTGCAGTGCAGCTTCTTGCCACTAGGCCACTAGAGCTCCTAATAATGGAAACCAATAATGGAAAAGTATTCCAAAGGAGATACATAACATTTTATATTAATTAGGAGTTGGCTCAGTTATATGTAATGTTGTTGTTGTTAGGTGCTATTAAGTAAGACTCATACCACCCTATGAACAAACAACAGATCTGAACCCTGTGCTGTGCCATTCTCCCAGTCTCTGACATACTTGAGCCCATTGCTGCAGTCACTGTGTCAATCTGCCTGGTTGAAAGTCTTCTTCTCTTTCACTGTTTTCCACTTTCCCAAGCATGATGTCCCTCTCCAAGGAATAACCTCTCCTAGCAACATGCCCAAAGCATGTCAGGCAAAGTCTTACCATCTCCTTTATGGAGCACTCTGGCTGCACCCTGTCAAAAACATTTTTGTTTGTTCTTTTGGCCGTTCAGTGCTCTTCTCCAACACCACAGTTTAAAGGCATCAATTCTTCTTCTGTCATCCTTATTCACTGTCAAGCTTTCATATGCATAGCAAGTGATTGGAAAGACCATAGCCTGATTCAAATGCACCTTAGTCCTCAAACTGATATCATTACATCTCAATAATTTGGAGAGGTCCCTAACTGCAGACTTTCCCAGTGCAATGTGTCTCCTTATTTCTTGACTGAAGGCATCAAAGGTGTTGACTGTGGATCCAAATAAGAGGAAGTTGTTGATGGTTTCAATCATTTCTCCATCTATCATGATGTCACCTGTAGGTCCAGTGATGAGGATTTTTGTTTTCTTGACATTAATATGCAACCCATATGTAATATGTATTAAGTAATATGTCGTAGAAAGCAACAATGGCTTATGTTGATGGAAAGGGAGCTCTGATGGCCTAGTGGCAAGAAGCTGCACTGCCATCCCAATGGCACGCAGTTTGAATCCACCAGATGCTGTGCAGGAGAAGGATGGGCAGTCTCCTCCTGTGTGGTTAACTGCTTCTGGAAAGTCACTAGAGGGTCAGCTATGGGCCAGTTCTGACTTTGTGGTAAACAACAACAATACTTTTCCCCCTCTTTTTTAAAGTGGAGATGTCAGTCTAGGGCTGGTAGGGTGATTCAGGAGTCCAGGCACCTCAGATTCTTCCCCCTTATCCTGCCCTCATCCCTCGAGTGCAGATCTCATTCTCATGATTCACAGTAGCTGCTAGAGCTCTAGGCATTAAATCCTCATTTCAAGAGGCAGGAGGGAGAAAAGGAACATAGTGGAAAGCATACCATACTGTCTCTTTTAAGGAGACTCCTTTGAAGTTTCACAAGATACATCCACTGGTAATTCACTGGTCAGAACTCAGACACACAGTCACATCTCTGTTGCAAAAGAGCCTTAGAAACTAAGTATTTCAGCTGAGTAACAAAGGTTTCCATTAAAAACTGAGTTTGTTACAAAGAAAGAAGAGGGTGTATGTAAGAAGAATACTGTGAAGGAGCCTGCAGTTTGTAATAACTCATGTTGTTGAGTCAGAACTGACTCTTAGCTGACCTTCCAGCAACTTTTCAGAGGCTGTACTCAAAGGCAGGCATTTCAAATGTACCAGCTGCTCCACTGGAGAGAATAACCAATCTACTCCTGTCTCATTTACAGCCTCTGAAAACCCACTGGAAGGTCAGCTGCGGGTGGTCTGGTTAAGACTGGTAGGCAATGAGAGAGAGAGAGACAGATACAGAGACAGAGGCAGAGACAGAGAGACAGACAGTCATAAATCACAGAGGAGGAGATTGCTGTCTTTCTTCTGAGGAGCTGCTAGTGGAAGTGACCTACCACTGCTAATGGAAGTGATCCCCTTTGGATCAGCCGCACGTCTCCTTACTCACAAGACCACAAGAGCTTTCTAACATAAAGAAAGGCAAATGTATCCCAAGCTTCAGGTTTTTAGAGAATGCCTCACAGAATTTCTTATAGTTCCCCTAATCGGCGTCGCCTTTCTGAGCTACTTCGCTATCACACTTCCCAGTCTGGAGATGAGATGACCTCTCTCTCAGAATATGTGTCCCGCATGAAGGAGACCCAGAAGTCCATTTATTACATCACCGGTGAGAGCAAAGAGCAGGTGGCCAACTCTGCTTTTGTGGAACGAGTGCGCAAGCGGGGCTTTGAGGCTGTGTATGTGACTGAACCTATCGACGAGTACTGTGTGCAACAGCTCAAGGAATTTGATGGGAAAAGCCTGGTTTCTGTCACCAAGGAGGGCCTAGAACTACCTGCGGATGAAGGGGAGAAAAAGAAAATGGAGGAGAGCAAGGCCAAGTTTGAGAATCTCTGGTAAGCTCATGAAGGAAATTTTGGATAAGAAGGTCGAGAAGGTGACAATTTCCACTAAGCTTGTATCTTCACCCTGCTGCATTGTGACTAGCACATATGGCTGGACAGCCAATATGCAGCGGGTCATGAAAGCACAGGCACTTCAGGACAACTCGACAATGGGCTACATGATGGCTAAAAAGCACCTGGAGATTAACCCCGATCATCCAATTGTTGAAACACTGAGACAGGAGGCTGAGGTGGACAAGAATGATAAAGCTGTTAAGGACCTGGTGGTGCTGCTGTTTGAAACCACACTGCTCTCTTCTGGTTTCTCCCTTGAGAATCCCCAGACTCACTCCAACCACAGTTACCGCATGATCAAGCTAGGCTTAGGCATTGATGAAGACGAGGTGACTGCTGAGGAACCCAGTGCTGCTGTTCCTGATGAGATCCCCCCACTTGAGGGTGATGAGGATGCATCTCGCATGGAAGAAGTCGATTAAAAGTTCCTACTGTAACACCCCCATTGCCCCTGTATAGCATCCCCGTGGCTCCTACAGAAGCCCTGAGTTGCCCTCTCCCATCTGGCTCCAACTGATGATAGCTAGTATTTTTCTTTCCTCTCCTGTGTGTTAAGACAGGATGTAACTCTGGCCTCAACCTCAAGAATGAGGTAAAAAAAAAAGAACGAGGTGGGATATTGTGTAGTGTTTTATTTTGTTCTGAAATTAAAGTATGCAAAATAAAAAAAAAGAAAGACAAATGTAAAAGATTTTAAGAGCGCCAACATTGTTGTTGTGTGGTGTTGAGTCAATTCTAATTTACAGATACCCTTTCCTAATAATCAAATATATGTAAATACCTTTTATAGTTCACCTTCGCCCAGCATCTTTAAGGGCCAGCCAGGAGTTGACTGTCTTGTCAACAGTATTGACATCAAAATCAAAAGATCCTATTGCTGGTGATTGTGACTCATAGTGACAGTACTGGGCAGAGTGGAAATGCTTATAGGGGTCAAGCCTGTAACCTTTATGGAAGTAGCCTGCCTCACCATTTTCCTCCAGGGCAGCTGGTTAATTTGAATCACTCATCTTCAGTTAGCAGCTCAAAGCTTAACCACTGTGAGACCAGGGATCCCCCAGCCCTGACACAGTCATCCACACGTAGAATTGCAGGATTAAGCCCTTTCATCTGCTGAACAGCTCTTGTGCCCAGGGGCAGGACTGCTGTCGGATCTCCCCCAGAGCTTTCTTCTAATCCTAAATTATGTCAGATTCTGTAAATACTAGGAAGTAGAGAACATTCTGCATGAAGGCATCCTCCTATAAAATAATGGTTAGAATTAAATTTTAGGTGTTTTTGAAAGTTCCTTAAAAAAAAAAAAGGAATATTCTCATGCAAACTGAATCAGCAGTTTCAGAGCTTAAGAAAGAAAAAGAAAAAAGAACCTTCGCTCTGCGCTTGGGGTGTTACAAACGGAGCATATAATCTGGCCACTAAAATAAGGATCCGTGAGGGCAAGAGTATTGCATAACCTCAAGCAACCGTTCTAGTAAATCTGGAACTTTACATTGGCCTCCCCAGAATCACACTTACTTGAGGCTCACAGGGGCACTTTAGGTTCCCATCCTTCAAGACACACAAAAGAAAAGCTGAGAGGAAGCTCCTGGGCCTCCTCTTAGTAGTGATCATCTCACACTGTTACTAGTCTTATGTCACTATTTCACAGCCTACCTTTAGCACTCACTTCTGACTTCCTGTTCTTTTCAAATAAGTGTGGACAAAATACAAGAATGAACAGGTATTTCATGGAGTCTAGGGGAGGCGGTCCTTGTGCAAATAGAAATATAAGAGTAAATATAATGACGAAGTAAAAATAAATAAATAAGTAAAATAAACAAAAGTAAATATAATGACAGAACAGGCCCAGGGTCTAGAACCAAGGCCTCGATTTGAGTCCTGGTTTATCAGGGGGGTGCTCTTAGACAAGTTATTAAACTTTTCTGAATCTCAGTTTCCTCAGCTTAAAAGCTGTTACTGAAAATGATGACTCATGGGAGGCTCAGACAAGTCACGTGTTGCACAGTCGAGCTGCACCTTCTGGAAGCAGCCAGCCAGCCCTTTCTTCCGAGGCACCTCTGGGTGGGATCAGACCACCAACTCTTCAGGTAACACTTGAGCACATAACAGTGTGTGCCACCCAGGGACTCCTGTCTTTAAAAGGGACAGTGAGTGATATAAGGTTACCTCACCAAGTTATTGCATTGTCAAGGTCCTTCAAGAAACAGATGACACACTCAAATTGGGGCTGTTTACAAAGGTGCAGGAAGGGCTTGGAAAACCAGCCCCTCAGCCCTAGCAACAGTGGGGAGCTGTCACCACCTCTGGCCTGAAGGAACCAAAGAAAGGAAGAGTTATAGAATCCAGGGAAGGTGGCTATCTGGCGAGACCTGTGGCTTCAGGTCCAGGATGCACTTGACCTGGAGTGACAGGGAACAAGAATAAACCCTTGACCTCATTTTCTAGTGTCCTCTGATCTCCTGCCAGTGCTTGTCATTGGCCAAATCTCAGCAGTGGCCAGAGGCAAGGGAGATGGGCAACAGAGTCAATACAAGTCAGTGTTCTGTGGAGAGGATGGAGAGCAGAGGGACACATGGGAGAGCCTTTGGAAGGTTAAACAAAACAGAATGAGGTGACCTCAGCCCAGTGCCTCGAACACAGTGAATTCACAAGTCCTCCATAAACGTTAGTTGGCTTTGGACTTTGTGCTCTCTGCATGTGTGCGTGTGGCTGCCCTTTTGCTTACTTCTTACTTCCTGATCTTCACTAGGTCACGAATGGCTGAAGTGACTTCCATATAATCTGGTTTTGTTATCTATATTACAGTGTTTTGAAGGAGTCACAACGGTGTACAAGAGATAATCAGAGATATTGGGTGCTGGACATAAATGAGGAAAACAAAAAAATGGAGAGGGAGGAAGAAAAGAGAAAAGCATGGGAGGCAAGTAGGATTATTTTACTTCACATAAATAGTATTCTCTGCTGGTATGCAGTAACATCATCTCTGCAACTTAATAGCCTGGCGAGACTTGCCTGAAACCTCTTCCTGCCCTAAATGCAAAATCTCGTTCTTTGGTTCAGGAATTAGCTTCATGGCAGCCTCTCCCTTTCCTTTACCCTCCCCCTCAAAAAACCCCAAACAAGTTGCCAAAGTGTTCATGTGAATGTTCAAATACCCGTCACACTGGTGTGGCTGAATCTGAGTCAGGAATGGCTGCTTGAAATGACTGGCCCCCTCTGGATAGGTCCCCGAGGAAGAGAAAACAAGCCCACAGAGGAGTCTGAGCAGAGGTTCATGAGCCTTTGCGCCCCTTCCTCAAGCCTCCACCTGCTGTTGACCTGGCTCCTTAGACACCATCTTCACTTTTCCACGTCTGGTACAGGCTCCAGAGTGAGACATGCAAGGCTTTTGTGATTGGTTGTGGTTGAAGATCTGCCTTCAGAATCCTTCATGTTTACTTAGCCTCCCTTGAAGATTCTCTGCCTGGACATATTCTCTGGTGTTTGCAAGGCAGTCTGGTGCTTTCTCAAAAAGCTGGAAATAGACCATTTGGCCCAGCTAGTGATGTCAGTTTGAACCCTAAGGTGCATCTGATTCAGGCCATAGTCTTTCCAGTTACTAGCTATGCATCCAAGAGCTAGACAATGAATAAGGATGGCAGAAAAAGAACTGATGCCTTTGAGCTGTGGTGCTGGAGAACAGCACTGAACATCCCATGGACGGCCAAGAGAATGAACAGATATGTCTTGAGAGGGTGCAGCTGGAATGCTCTTTTGAGGCAAGAATGATGAAACATTACCTCACATACTTTGGACATGTTGCTAGGAGGTGCTATTCCTTGGAGAAGAACATGATGCTGGGAAGAGTGGAGCCTCAGTGAAGGAGAGGAAGGCTGGCTCTTGTGTGTCAGGATGAGAGTATTGTGCAGGATGGAACAGGATTCAGATCTTTTGTTCATAGGGTCTCTATGAGTTGTACTCAACAACACCTAACAATAACAACATCCCACTACTGGGAATTTTGTTATTGTTGTTGATTGCCATCGAGTTAAGCATGACTCTATGAACAAAACACCTGAAGCCTTTCTGTAACTATCATCATTTCTCCAGGTTCATAGTTTCCATAGGCATGTTGTTTAGGAAGTGGATGCCTCTCCTGCTTCTAAACCTGTCTTAAACTGGCATCTCCACCAAATACTGTCCACCTTGGGCAGCCTTTATGGCATTTGACGCCCCCATGACAAAAGGTTCAGCATCACAGCAAACCCAGATTACCTCAGTAAAGCAAATTGACAGAAGAGTGATGTACAACTTAAAAGAATGTTCCTCCAAAATATAACAACACTAGTCTCACTTAGCAGTGGTTACATGCGTCAAATAGAATAGGACTTATAGTGACTCCATGAAAAGTCCAGAAGCCTGTTCTACAACTAACATCTTTTCTCTGTTCATAGAGTTTCCAAAGGCATGTGGTTTAGGAAATGGATGCCACTCCTGCTCCCAAACCTGAATCAATCCAGAAGCTCCTCCAAACACTGTCCATGATGGGCAACCATGATGGTATGTGACACAACAATGGCACAGTGTTCAGCATCACAGCAACTCCAAGTCACTTTAGTACAGCAAATAGACGAATGCTGTACCACTTAAAGAATGTTCATCCAAAAAATAATTAATTGGCCTGAGGGCCTGTGGCCTCAGGGCCCTACGATATTGTAAAGACAGGCACGCCCAACAAATGCTGTTAACTATAAACCAAGTAGACCCGCCGCCTTTGGGTCCTTGTGAACTATATCCGGCAAAAGTCCAGTCAGCTGATACCTGCTTGTGGAGGGAAAAAACCAAGAACACGACCAAAACTGGGAATATACCTTAAAGAAATCAGAGTCATGACACAAGGAGATGTATATACACACCCATGTTTATTGCTGCATTATTCACAAAAGTCAAGAAATAGACACAGCCCACGTGCATGCGTGCTTGGTGCTTGGATAGAAATAGATAAGAAAACTGGTACATTCACACAATGTACACACCACTGAAAACCAATCAACTTGTAAAACACTATACAACGCAGATGAGTCTTGAAGATATTACACTGAGTGAAATAATTTACTTGACAAGAGTACAAACACTGCATCAGACCACTGTTAGAAAAATAGGATGAGTACAGAGATTAGAGGAAAGCAGGATGAGAATGGCTAATGAACACCACAGTGGAACGTGAGAAAGGAGGGACTATCTGAAGGGGATGGATGATTAGATGTTGTGTGTGTGACAATTAAGAATCTGGAAGATGACATGCATTACAAAGTGAAAGTGAATTGGAGGAGCAAGAGGGAGGAAAATGTGTATCAATGAATAAATGAAAACCCAATCTTTTTATAAACTTTCACAAAATCACAATTTTTAAGAGACAGAGACCCCCAGGTCTTCAGGTAGC